TGTTGTTGTCATTTGTTTCCATATATTGCTACATCTCCATTTTAATTTGGTCATTGATCATTTAGGAGCATGTTGTTAAGCCTCCATGTGTTTGTGAACCTTTTTGCTTTCTTTGTACAATTTATTTCTAGTTTTATACCTTTGTGGTCTGAAAAGTTGATTGGTAGGATTTCAACTGATCCTTGTCCTTGATCTTTGCCATTTTAATTATTATGTCTTAGTGTTGTCCTCCTAGGGTCCCTTCTGTTCGGAGTTCTGTATACTTCCGTGGTCTGAATGATTATTTCCTCCCCCAGTTTGGGGAATTTTTTGGCAATTATTTCTTCAAATATACTTTCTATCCCTTTTTCTCTCTCTTCCTCTTCTGGTACCACTATAATGCGAATACTGTTCCGTTTGGATTGGTCACACAGTTCTCTTAATATTGTTTCATTCCTGGAGATCCTTTTATCTCTCTCTGTGTCAGCTTCTATGTGTTCCTCTTCTCTGGTTTCTATTCCATCAATGGCCTCTCACATCTTATCCATTCTGCTTATAAATCCTTCCAGAGATTATTTCATTTCTGTAATCTCCTTCCAGATATTATCCCTTAGCTCTTGCATATTTTACTGCAGCTCCATCAGCATGGTTATGACCTTTATTTTGAATTCTTTTTCAGGGAGATTGGTTAGGTCTGTCTCCCCAGATTCCTTCTCAGGGGAGGATGTCTGGGTTAGTCTGGTCTGCATCAAATTTTTCTGTCTTTTCATGGTGATAGAGGTTGTTGCGGGAAGCTGGTGTGTGTGTTGGCTGGAAGAATGTCCCTTCTTGCTAGTTTGTGGCCTTCCTCTCCTGAGAGAACAGTGACCCCTAGCAGCTTGTGCAGGCCGGCTGCGTGCAGACGTGGTTTTTAATTCTTGTTTGACTGCTGTGAAAGAAGCTCTGCCCTGCTGCCTCAGGCTGCTGCTCCAGTATGGCGGAGTGGTGTCGGAGGGGACATGGGCCGGAGGCTGTTTATCTCCATGAGGGGCCTCCGAGCTGCACTGCTGCCCAGGGGGTTAGGGCACCCGAATTTCCCTGGGATTCCCAGCTGCTGGGCTAAGTGTCCCAAGGACGTTTCCATCCAGCTGTGGGGTCCATGTCCCTTTAAGTCTTTCAAAAAGCACTCTTTTTTCTTTGTCCCAGGGGTGCTGGCTGCAGGGACCCACTCGCAGGTTTTACTGTACCGTTTCCCTAGTATACAGCACCCCACGCACTGTTTCTGCGCTCTGGTGCAGATGGCTATGGCTGGGTGTTTAGCAGTCCTCGGCTCCCTCTCCCTCCCGGCTCTGACTCCTCTCCTCCCGCCAGGAGCTGGGGTGAGGGGTGCTCGGGTCCCGCCAGGCGGCGGCTTGTATCTTACCCCCTTCACGAGGCGCTGGATTCTCCCACGTGTTAATGTAGCCTGGCTGTTGTCCTGTGTCTTCTGGTCTCTCGTTTAGGGAAGGTTGTATTTGTTGAATTTTCAAAAATATATATGGTTTTGGGAGGAGACTTCCACTGCTCTACTCACGCTGCCATCTTGGCTCCGCCACCCTCATCTGTCATTTTTAAATGGTAGTTTTTACTTTTAAAGGGTAATTTTAATGTAATTTTTAATTATATGTCCTTCTGAAGTCTCATCAAAATCATTTTTTCAAGAATGCCACAGTTGTCAAAGGCATTAAATACAAACAACTTTATTGCACAAACGTTATAAACATACGACTGTTTTGTGATCAGCCTTCTTTATTTCACTAGCTATATGAGTCATGTAATGGTATACCTCCATTTTCCTACCAGTAAGAGAAGAATAACACAGTTTGTAAAGTTTGAGATCCTTGAACAATAAGTGATGTTTGCTATACTACTATTATTTTTGAAACAGTACATATAGAATTATAACTACTATGAATTTGTGTTAACTTAATGAGTTAAATGTATGAGTGAGGCTCTAATTATTTATAAATCCCATCCTTTACTTGGAATTGGGGATAACACATCCTGTGTTCCAAGCACTGTTCTGAGCCCTTTCAGCATAACTTATTTAATCTTCATAACAACTTCGTAAGAGAAGTTTCAGTACTCACTCCTTCCTACAGAGGAGAAAATGGAGGCCCAGGGTGTTTCCCTTGCAAGTGCTGGAACCAGGGCTGGAGCCCAGCCGTCCGGACTCCTGAGCACTCACTCCCTTGGCCACCGTCCTGCCCTGCAGAACACTTCCCACGACAGGGTCCTCCCTGCCTTCAGAATGACCATTCCACCGTCAGACAGATGTGTGCAATTAAACACTAGTCTCTGACTGAAGTATTTAAGAATGAAATTATATCATGTCTAGGATTTGCTTTAAAATACTCCACGAGGGGCAGAGATGAAACAGATTATTTCACCAGAAACTATTGAAGCTGAATGATAAGTACATGGCATCCATTCTGCTGTTCTCCACTTTTGTGTACGTTTGAAATTTTTCATAATAGTTTGTTTTTTTTTAAGTTACTCTCTGTGTTAAACTTGAAAGTTCTATAGTGTTCTAGAAGGTCATTTCTTTAATTTTAGTTTTTCTTGTGTTTAATGATAATTTTTGGTATGTTCTCAGTGATACTCAGGTATTTAACTGGAATTTCTTCCATCATTTATTTTTTTATAAATTACTGCTATTCAATAGTGTTTTTAGTATTATAACAATGAAGAAAACATTCATTTTCAGAATCCCATTAAGTTCTATACTTTACAATATGTAAATACTAGCTTTTGAGAGGGCTCAGTTTTGTCGAAACTTGTTTAAAATCATTATACCTAAACACACATTTAGTATAACCTGATTTTGTTTTTACAGGAACCAAGCAATAAAAGAGTTCGACCTTTAACTCAAGGTACATCCTTGGCAAATTTAATCTCTCCTGTGAGAAATGGAACAGCCAGATGCTTTGGTCATACAGTACAGGTAAGGGGGAATGGGGCTGGAAGTGAGTAATGTAGTGAGGAGGCTTTTTTCTAAAAAGCCTAAAATTGGTATTTTTTTCCTTGAAGTGTACAAACAGGTTTGCACTCTTACTAAACATAAATATCCCTTTGGAATATGCTGACAATAAATATTAGAACAATATCTAATCTCACTATATTAGTTTACATCTTCTATCAAAGCATGATCTTGGACAGCTTTTATTTCTAAAAAGTAGTTTTGGCTAATAATATTTTACAATGATAGATTGAAGCTTGGATAAATGCGTGGAGAAATTCTCTGAATTTTGTTTTCTAATTTGTCAATTTTTTTTAAGAAAAAGAAGAATAATTCCTGTGTCCTCCAAAGCTTTTCTCTTTTGTTCACCTCTTTTATTCTTCTCTTAAGCCATTTACTCGTCATGGTGACAGCAGATCCCCAGCTTCTGCCCAAAAGTCATCATGCAGATCGACAGTTCCAACGCCTGCCAAAAGGAGAAGTAGCGTCCTGTGGTCAGAGACGTTAGGCGTCAACATTAGAGAGTCTTTAACTGCCAAAGAAATCAAACGTCAGGAGGTAAGCTGCCATTCAGTAACAAGACCATATATATTGGCTTACACTAGAAAAAAAAGTACCTGTTTTTTAAATAGGTGTTTTGCCAGAAGATTAGCAAACTAATGCCTAAGGCAAAATCAACTTGCAATTTTGTATTTGACAGTAATTCTTAATACATGCTAAGCAACACTTTGTGATTGGTGGGGTTCATCGGATTGAACTCTTGATGGGGTGAAGTTATAATACGTAGGGCACTATATAAAACATTGAGACTCCATTCTGAATTTTAGTTTTCAGACTGAGACACTTTAAAAAGGACTGTTTGAAACATCAGTTAAATAATGGTGAATATCAATTGTACATAATTTTCCTTTCTCAGAGGAATGGATGGTGACTTATGATGTTTGCTTCATTTTTTTTAGGCAATATATGAAATGTCCCGAGGTGAACAGGACTTAATTGAAGATCTCAAACTTGCAAGAAAGGTCAGTGTATAACTTTTTATCATACACTCTGGTTTTTAGAAATTATATTTAACAAATTCTAACATAGTTTTCTTTTTAGAAGCAGAAAATATCTACTAGTGAATACTTTTTTTTTACATGAGCTTTATTAGACACATCTTCAAATATGAATGTCAGTGAGAGAGTCTTTTAGGGGGATTAGCAAACATATACTTTAATTTCTTCTATGTTTTACAGTAGAATCCACAGTGGCTTTTGTACAGTTACTCAAACTTGCATTCAAGTACAGATCTCTCATAATGTCTTCTTTGCTTGATCTCTCTGTGTGACGCATTTCTCCCCCTCTGGTAGGCCTACCATGACCCCATGTTAAAGTTGTCTATCATGTCAGAAGAGGAACTCACACATATATTTGGTGACTTGGATGCTTACATACCTTTGCATGAAGGTGAGATATGCTACTTAATTTTCTTTAGAATCTTGAACAGCAGGAATACAAGTAAGTTTAAATCTAAACTTCTAATTTAGTGCTGAATTATTTTTAAAATAAACCTGTTCTTGGTATTTCTGCTTTTTTATGCTTCAGATTTGTTGGCAAGAATAGGAGAAGCAACGAAGCCTGATGGGAGAGTGGAGCAGATTGGTCACATTCTTGTGAACTGGGTATGTAGTGAGTATTTTACTCCAGATAGTTTTTCACAAGTACATGCCACACTTGTCATTGTAACGAATATCAGAACCACTTGATCCAGGAACTGGATTATAAAAACAGATAAACAAGGCATTAAAATTGAAGAAATTTTTGTAGCTATAAGAACTTACAGTCTCTGTTTAAAAACCTACTTGATGAATGATGATGAATGATACAGTTTTGTTTTAAAAATATGTTCCTCCTTGTACAGAGTTCTCACATTATATGCAATTAATTTTCTGTTTCATTCCTTCAATTAATATTTGAGTGCCTGCCAGATGCTTGGCACTGTTGTGGGAGGGATCACTGGGAATTGAGAGATAAAAGGCAGTCTCTACATGAATAATCTAGTGAGGGACAGTCCAGTAAAGAAACAGTCTGAAGGTTGGTGATGAAGGTGATACAGGAAGGCTACGGTGTCCTGGGACTAGAGAAGACTAGCATCTAACTAGCTGGGGAAAGTAAAAGTCATGAGTGTTTGGTTGAATTTAGCTAAATTAGGGAAATGAGAAAAGGGTGTTTGGTGTTGGCCCAGAATACTCTACTCCCCCTAATATCACCTGCAGGACAATGCTCACAGCTTGTCAGAGCTTTCCAGAACAGCTGTGAGCTTTATGTTTCATGTTCACAAGCTTACTAATGGACTGACCATAGCAGGAACCTACCGTACTTCGTTTTGTCTTGTCACTCTTCAGTTGCCAGGCTTGAATGCCTACAAAGGCTACTGTAGTAACCAGCTGGCAGCCAAAGCTCTTCTTGACCGAAAGAAACAGGACCCAGGAGTCCAGGACTTTCTCCAGCGATGTCTTGAGTCTCCCTTCAGCCGAAAACTAGATCTGTGGAGCTTCCTCGATAATCCCCGAAGTCGCCTAGTCAAATACCCTTTACTGTTAAAAGAAATTCTTAGACATACTCCAGAGGACCACCCTGATGTTCAGCTTCTGCAGGAAGCTGTAAGTAGTCCAACTAATGATTCTTGTGTTTTCCAAATTTATACATAAGTTGTCTAGAAAGTTATGCAGTGCTACTCTCAGTTATGCATAGTGACTCAGCATCGGGAGGTGTTTGGTGGATGTTTTAAGCACCCCATATGCTCGTGCACCACACACTGTAATAAAGAGGCAGGACACAATCTGTATTTATATTCTAATCAAAAGACTGGATTCTGGTCTTACCACTTCCACTAGCTAGCTGGAGAACTTTGGGCAAATTACCTAATTAGGCTGAAACTGTTTCTTCATCTGTAAAATGAAGGGACAGACTGAATTAACTGATTTCAAGAGTCCCTTCAAGCTTTAAAATTCTATCACTTTGATGTGGTGTTTTAGTCCTATAGGGACACTGACTACATTATTCTGAAAAGGCTCCATCAGTTTTTTGATAATTTTTAGATATTGATAATACAAGGAGTTCTCTCTGATATCAACTTGAAGAAAGGAGAATCAGAATGTCAGTATTACATCGACAAACTGGAGTATCTGAATGAAAGGCAGAAGGATCCTCGAATTGAAGCAAGCAAAGTATTGCTTTGCCACGGGGAGCTGAAGAATAAAAATGGACGTGTAAGTGTATCTTAGAACTAACAGGAAATGAGCCATTGCTTCCCTTTCTCACCCAGTTTGTTTCCACATAGATTATGAAGCAGGTTGTAAAATAAACTCATCAAATAGTGAAAGAAGGTTACTGGTTTTTGTTCTTTGTTACCAGCTTTCATAATGCAAACATTTGGTTTCTGTCTTTACAGAATAACTTAGATGTCTCTGGAGAATCAATAATATTTTACTTTTTAGTTTTGGAGCATAAATCAATTTGGCTAGCAGTTTTTCTGAATAAATTATTAGTTCCATGTTTCATAAAAAAATAACATCTGTCAGAAGATTTTTCTGAAGAGTTGATAGTGATGGAAGTAGTTTTAGCATTACTAACCAGATTTCTGCAGCAGACTAACTGGAAGCAAACTTACTTTTAGAATTTTAATTGAAAAAGTACCTGCCAGAGCTGAGTATAAGCATGAGTGGTATTTTTTGTTTCATTATTTGCTTTTCAGAAGCACGATTAATAAGTTGAGGTTCTTTTTGGAAAAAGATGAAATCTGACGTCTCTGATTTATATTGTGAGTCCCAGCTGTTCTTTAAAGACTGAAATTTGTGTGGGACAAAGTAGAACCATTAACATTTTTACCAGCTTGCATTGTTTAAATCCTTACTTTGTTAGAAAACTTTGGTATACAATCCTGGTCTTTCCAGGCATGTTCCTACTGATAGGTCTTTGTGGGGTGCAGTGATTACTCTGCTGCTACCTCATCTAATGTTATATGCCAATAAAAAGTTTTTATAGTCTGAGATTAGACAGGCTCTCCAAGCAGAACATGCATAGCCTTAGAATCCTCTTTCTGAGGTCATCTACAAGGGGAATCTCAAATAAATGTGATGAAATCAATCATGTCTAAATTCCAATCACTTAAAATCACAGGGTTCCACATGTAGGAAGTATTTGTTTCTCATTTCTGCAGAAATTTTACATTTTCCTGTTTCAAGACATCTTGGTTTTGACTCGGCCTGTTACACAAAATGAGCGTCACTCTTACCAAGTTTACCGACGACCAATCCCCATCCAAGAGCTGGTCTTGGAAGACCTGCAGGATGGAGATGTGAGAATGGGAGGGTCCTTTCGAGGGGCTTTCAGCAGCTCACATAAAGGTAAAAATACAAATTGTAAAATTGTTTCAATTAACAAACTCAGAACCTAAGTGAATTTAGTTTTAATCTTTAAAAATTCTGTCTCAGATTAATATATAAGATACATTTAAATATTCACACAATTCAACACCCCAAAAAAATCTGATTTAAAAAATGAGAACCTGAATGGAAATTTTCTGAAGATGTACAGATGGCCAACAGACACATGAAAAGATGTTCAGCATCACTAATCATCAGGGATGTGCAAGTCAAAACCACAATGAGATATCACTTTACACTAGTCAGAATGGCTAGTATTAAAAAACAAACAAATAACAAGTATGGGCAAGATTGTGGTGCACTGCTGGTGAGAATGTAAATTGGTGCAGCCTCTGTGGAAACAGTGTGGAGGCTCCTCAAACAGTTACAGAGAGGAATACCATATTACCCAGTAACTCCACCTCTGGATACTTACCTGAAGAAAACAGAAACACTAATTCAAAAAGATATGTGTACCCCTATGTTAACTGCAGCACTATTTACAATAGCCAAGATATGTGTCCATCAATAGATAAATGAATGAGGAAGATGTGGATACGTGGGCAATAACTCGGCCATAGAAAAATAATTAAATCTTGCCATTTGTGACAGCATGGTTGGTCCCAGAGGATATTGTGCTAAGTGAAAAAAGAGAAAAACAAATACCATATGATTTCACTTCCTTCATACAGCATCTGAAAAATAGACAAAACAGAAATAGGCTATTCAGACAAAGAATAGGTGGTTGCCATGGTGGGAGGGGTAGTAGGCAAAATAGGTAAAGGGAATAAACAGGTGCAAACTTCCAGTTACAAATTAGTCACAGACTGAAGGTACAGCATGGGGAAAAGAAAAAGAGAATTGTGTCTCCACACAAAAAGTTATAAATGAAAGGATTCCATTGTCCTATAGCTGCTGCTGTCATCAAGTTGTGCTCTGACACCAGTAGGTGCATCTAAGAAATAATGTCCTAAGGCTTTATTTAATGCCTCCACCTAACAAGTGTACATGTACAGAAATTCCGGCACCCACACTTAGATTATATGACCACTTTATCTACACAAACTGTTTTTAAGTCTGATTTCCTTTCTTTTTTCCAATTTTTCTTTTCCTAGCTAAAAATATCTTTAGAGTTGGCTTCCAAGACCCCTCTCCAGACCAGTCTCACACTCTGCAAGCCAATGATGTGTTCCACAAGCAGCAGTGGATCAACTGTATTCGAGCCGCCATAGCCCCTTTCCAGCAGGCCACCAGTCCAGCCGAGCTGCAGGGTTTGCCCGGGTTCCATCAGGAGTGTGTCGAGAACAACCCCTCCGCTGGGAATGTCAAAACCCAGAGAAGGGCATCTACAGCATCCAGTGTGACTCAGGTCGAAGTTGATGGGGACGCTTCAGCGTGTCTCCCCTGCGTGCACCACAGACGACATGAAGAGTGTCAGAGCGCACTGAGCACAGCCTGGCTTCCCAAAGCCAAGGGACAAATCTCCATTGGGTGTTGAATGGAAAGAGACTTCAGTATAAAGGAAGTTCTGTGTATTACTGGTGCAGAGCCTGTTTATTTATAAATGTATACAGTTTGGGTTTTCTTGAAATGTGAGCATGGGAGCGTTGCAGGGTTACTTAATACTAGTCTTAACATTTTCTGTTTTAGTTCTTTTTGTGTTTTTTAATGGCAGCTAAAGATACATATACAGATTACTGTTAAAACTGCAACCTTTTTTAAAGATACATTCTCATAATTTGGAACATGCAAGCCTGATATTTTTAATCAAATGAAATATTTATGGAATGAGTTTCTTCTTCATTCTAAATTCATCAGGACTTTCCAATAACTGCCTGTTGTGATATTTACAATATCTACCAAACCTTAAAATTTTGCAATTACTGGGATTTTATCAGTGTTTCTTTGATAAACTGTGTGTGCAGAATTTGAAATTTTAACATTGGCTCCTAAAATCTACACAGAATACAGGTGTGTAATACATTAAAATTTATACTGAAACGTAAGTTCCTTTTGAAACAAAGTATAAAACTTTATACAGATTTTCCATTCTATCGACTGGAATACTTTATATTAGTTTTTGTCACTACACATTCCTCATTTTCATTCCCTTAACCTGCCAATTTTTTATTTTTGTTAAATTATGAAGTATTTTTTAGTATTTGCTTTATTTATTTATTTTTTACTTTGTCACCTTTTCAGATAGCCTTTATTTTTCCCCATTAATAAAAATGTGTACATATGTACGTATATATGTGTGTGTGTGTGTGTGTGTACATATA